AGCCCCCCTACAGCCCAGATTTGGCACCCTGTGACTTCTGGCTTTTTCCCAAACTAAAATCACCTTTGAAAGAGGTGAGATTTCAGACTGTCGATGAGATCCAGGAGAATACGACGGGGGCAGCTGATGACGATTGGGAGAATTGTGTGAGGTCCCAAGGTGCCTACTTCGAAGGGGACTGAGGTGTCATTGTCCTATGTACAATGTTTCTATTTTTCATCTGGACAGATATGTATCTATATATCTCCCCAGTGGTGGGCAGAAGAGGCAATCACACATTGATGTTTTTCTCCCTCTCTTTCTCCCTCCCTTCCCCTCTCTAAAGATAGAAAAATAAAACCTTTTAAAAATAAAAAATAAAAATCAAACATTTATTCTTTTATTGTTGTCAATTGCAGTTGTCCCAATTTTTATCCCATTGCTGTCCCCTGCCCTATCCACCCTCCACCCCAGCTCCCTCCGTCAGTTCCCACCATGTTGTCCATTATCACGGGTCCTTTATTTATATTACTTAACTAGGCCCTTCTTCTTATTTCCCCCCATTATCCCTCTCACCCGTCCCCTGTGATCACTGTCAGTTTGTTCCTTATTACCATGTCTATGGTTCTATCTTGCTCCTTTGTTTGTTTTGTTCATTAGGTTCCACTTATAGGTTAGATCACACAGTATTTGTCTTTTGCCACCTGGTTTATTTCACTTAGCATAATACTCTACAATTTCATACACGCTGCCCCAAAAGGTAGAAACTCCTTCTATTTTTCTGCTGCACAGTGTTCCACTGGGTAAATGTACCACAGTTTTTTTATCCATTCATTGACTGATGGGCACTTAGACTGTTTCCAAATCCTGGCTATTGTAAATTGTGCTGCTATGAACATTGGGGTGCATAGGTTCTTTTGAATTGTTGTTTCAGGATTTCTTAGGGCATAATCCCAGCAGTGAGATGACTGGGTCAAAAGGCAGTTCCATCTTTAGTTTTCTGAGGAAACTCCATACTGCTTTCCACAGTGGCTGCGCCAGTCTGCATTCCCACCAACAAAGTATTAGGGTTCCCTTTCCCCCCACATCCTCACCAGCACTTGTTTGTTGATGTGTTAATGACGGCCATTCTGACCTAGTGTGTAGTGGTATCTCATGGTGGTTTTAATTTGCATCTCTCTGATCATTAGTGATGTTAAACATCCTTTTATATGTCTATGAGCCCTCTGTATGTCCTCCTTGGGGAAGTGTTGTTCAGGTCCTTTGCCTATTTTTTTAATTGGATTGTTTGTCTTCCTGGTGTTGAGTCATATAAGTACTTTATATATTTTGGAGATCGAACCCTTGTCTGAAGTATCATTGGCAAATGTTTTCCCATACAGTTGATTCCCTTTTCATTTTGCTAGTGGTTTCTTTAGCCGTGCAGAAGCCTTTAAATTTGATGTAGTCCCATTTATTAATTCTTTCCTTTATACCCCTTGTCCTAGGAGATATACTGGCAAAGATACTGCTGTATGGGGTATCTGAAATTTTACTACCTATGTTCTCCTCTAGGACTTTTATTGTGTCATGACTTATGTTTAAGTCTTTTATCTATCTTGAGTTTACTTTGGTGTATAATGTAAGGTGGTGGTCTAGTTTCATTTTTTTTGCACATAGCTGTCCAGATCTCCCAGCACCACTTATTGAAGAGGCTATTTCACTCCATTTTATGCTCCTGCCCCCTTTGTCGAATACTAATCAACCATAGAGACATGGGTTTATTTCTGGGCTCTCTATTTCTGTTCCATTGATCTATGTGTCTGTTCTTATGCCAGTACCAGACTGTTTGATTATAGTGGCCTTGTAATATAATTTGATATCAGGTATTGTGATCCCTCCTACTTTGTTCTTCTTTCTCAAAATTGGTTTTATGAGTTCAAACGCACTACCTTTATCCAGAATGAAAGAATGTTCTGGAAATAATCTATGAAGTCTGAGTCCCCCCCCCCAAAAAAAAGCGGTTGTACATATATACAATAGAACATTACTCAGCCATATAAAAAACAAAATCCTACCATTTGCGACAGCATGGATTGACCTACAGGGTAGTATGCTAAGTGAAGTAAGTCAGTAAAATACCATATGATTTTGCTTAATATGTGCAACCTGAAGAATAATATAAATGAACAACCAATCTAGAAGTAGACTCATTGATACAGAGAGCAGACTGGTGGTTGCCAGATGGGAGGTGGTGGTGGAGGACTGGGTTGAGATGGTGAAGGGATTGATAAGTACAGATTGATAGTTAAATAAGAGTCACAGAGATGTAAAATATGGCATAGGAAATATAGTCAATAATTACTGTAATAACTATGTGCCAGTTGAGTACTGAAAATATCAGGGACAATACTTTAAGTGCTCGTCTAACCACTATACTATACATATACCTGAAGCTAATATAAAATATTTAATGTGAAAAAAAAAAGACTAGCCCTCTAAGAGATTCTGCAGCTGGAATTGAAGGCTTTGTCAGCCTTTCAGAAGCAGGGCAGAACACACACTAGTGCTTCCTACCTGGTGTGGTTTGAGGTGAGGTAAGGTGTGAGTAAGCAAAGGCTTCCCAGAGAAAGCCCTGTCAAGGTAAACATCTTCATAACCCTGGCTAACCAAATGGCAATGTCCCCAGAAAAGAGCATCCTTCAGGGGTACCCAATGCTATCCCTGCCCCAGTGTCTCGCTGATGAACAACTAGGCATCCTGCCAGACTCATTTTCCTAAAGCAGACATTGGGTGGTATCACCCCAGTCCCAGGGTAGAATTTAAAGAACTGGGCCAGGCATTAGAAATCCTCTATAATGCAGTCCCTGCCTCCCCTACCTGCCCTACCCAGCTCTTGTGATCCTCTGAATTCACTTGACCATTTTCCTCTTCTCAAACTTTGTTAGACATCCTCCTTTTGCTGATATGCCATGTGCTGTCCCTTTCTACCCATTTTTCTAGTCACATTTCAAATGCCACCTCCTTCAGAAGCTGTGATCTTCTTGGTAAAGAGAGCCTCTATCCTCTGAGTTCTTCTGCATAGCCCTTGGGTGGTTTTCATACAATCAAAGTGCGTTCTTTAGTGCATTAATTTGCCTTCCAAGCCAGAATGTGCTCTTTGAGAATAGGTTTGCTTTTATTTTTTTTTCCTTTCTCAGGGTCTAGCACAATGCTTCAGTAACTACTTGTGGAATGCCTCAATAGCAACTTTTTATTCTATCAGGGAATTCTTCTTATTTTGTTGTATTACTGTAAGGCCACGCTAATGAAATTGAAACAACTCTCTGATGTGAACCTGAAAGCAAGATATTACTCATTTATCTGTTACATGCTGGTTTGGGGAGAACCTGGGCACATTTGGGTGTTTTCACTGGCCCTACCCCTTCTATAACCTCACTCCCACCTCTCCATCTCCACCCCACCAACCCTACCTCTTTCATCACTCCACCTTACCCCTTATTCAGAACCACTTTAGCCCTTTAGGTGTCCCTAGGACTTTCACTTTCAAGTCCTTTCCACTCCCAACATTCTTTCATAGAAGAGGCAGATCTTTCATTACTCTAGTTTCAAGTTGTATCCCTCAGGCAATTTCAGGAATTCCAAGGCTACTCAAATATCCAGAGTGATAATCCTGTGTACTCATGAGCTAAACAAGATCTGGGACATTCAGGCAAGTTTTAACTACATAACAGTAGTTTCAAGCTCAAACAAAGACGTTCTACATTCTGCTTTTTAAATTGATCTATTTTCCTCTCTTTTTTCTAAAATATAATGGATTTTAATGTTTTACTATTTTTATTTATAGAGAAGGTAGAACATTTATTGAGTACTTTAAGGTGCCAAGCATTGTGCTAGATACTTGAAATATGAACGTCATCTAATTTTCACAATGACCTTAGGAGACCCACAGTTACATTTTATAGATGAAAAACTGAGGTCAATGGATATTAAGTGATTTGTACAAAATTATGCAGTGAATTTGTGGGTCTAGTATTTTACTGTTGGTCCTCTCATAAAAAGCTCACGCTCTTTTAGTTATATCTGGCTGTATCCTCAAGTAAAACCCAGTTCATTCTGACTTCATCTTCCACTTCAAAATAAGGATTACAAACAGATGTAACCTCAGCAGAAGGAACTTTATACATTTCTAAGGAAAAGGAGCATCACTGGACCAAGAATGCCACCACCATTGATCTCAGGATCTCACTTGGTTCAATTTTCCTAAAAAGAGGATTGAACTGACCCACTATCAAGTCTTACCTGGCCAATCATCATAGCACCACTTTACAGCATCATATAATCACAATTATAATCAACCATTAAAAATTGTTTTAATTTTTTTAAACAATTAAAAAATTGTTTTAAAACAAGTTTTTGTTTTAAAACAATTGTTTTAAAACAGGGGCATAAAAAACCCTCACAGACTAATAGGTATTACTTGCACAGTTTCTTTCTAGAAACTAGGTGTATGGCACAGTGGAGCAAAAATAAAAGACTCCAGATTTCACAAAGATATCTAGTTTTACATTTTGATAAAATGTAACTTAACTGGCCAAAACAGTTAAAGCAAACAAGCAAATGAACAATAAAGGATAAAAGTATCGCATAACCAAGTAAACACCTGTTAGTCATTTCCCTTTAAGACTTTTAAAATAAGGTCACATTTATTCATTCAACAAACATTTATTGAGCACCAACACTGCGCTAGGTGCTAAGGAATATAACGGTGACAAAGATAAACCAGATTCCAGCCCTAACTGGACACTGCTGCTTTAAATGATCTTGCTAACTGGTTATTCTCTGATAGTATTATATTTTTGTTAAAGTCAGAGTCACATGAGGCCTCTTCTGGAGTACTTTCAAAATGTCTTTATGGCAAACTCGATAGAAACCTTTGTTTAACTTAGAGAAAGAAGAGATGGCGCCACGTATCCTTTCAAAAGTCATGTTAAAGGTAAAGTTAGTTTTAAAGCAATACGGCAACTGGTGAACAAAGTGCGTTAGACCATTCGGTGGCGCTTGTGGGTTGGGGAGTTTGCGACGCCATCACCGCACTGGGCCGAGGTGCGTTTGCGGGTCCCCCCACTGGCCAGGCGGAGGGCCAGATCTTCTGAGTCGCTGGAGTTCAAATCGTCCTCAAGGATGGCACTTTTCTGGAGACCATCGCTAGTGACACTGCCGGAAACACCACTGGCTTGAGATGGAGAGTTGGATGGGCCAGACTGCACACTGATGGTCGCCATGGCGCCACTGAGGCCATGCAGGGCGATGGCCTCGTGGAAAGGCCGCAAGTCGACGTCTACCGAGGAGGTGGATTCGGTGGCCACAGCTTGGCTGGAGGCAGCGGCAGGAGGCTTTGGGGCAGTCCTGGGAGTACGCAGTGGTGGAGGAGCCGGGGGCACTTTACCACACAGGAAGCTAATCAGATCTTCGCGGAGAATAGTGCTTCGGCCCTTCTTCACCCAATCCAGCACATCTTTGATGCGACGCTGGCAACCAACCTGTACGCCCAGGTCAAAACTTCGCTGGTGGGCCTTCCCGCTCTCTTTATAGAGGCTGGTCACAGCCATGGCTGCACTCTGGAAGGGGTCCCACATGGAGTGTTCCGGCTGTGGGCACCCTGAGCCTCTGTAGAGCTGGGCCACGGAGGTGGCTGAGATCTGGAAGAGGTGCCACAGCTTCTGCTGCTCGATCTTAGGCCCCAGCGCCTCCTCATCTTCCTCGTCCTCCTCATCCTCCTCGTCCTCCTCCGTCTCCTCCGCCTCCTCATCCTCTTGGGTCTCCTCCGTCTCCTCGTTCTCCTCGGCCTCCTCAGCCTCCTCAGCCTCCTCAGCCTCCACGTCTTCCTCAGCCTCCTTGCCTTGCATCTCGGTGAGCAGCTGCTCTTCCTGGTCGGCTGCGTTCAGGCATTGACGCTCCCACTTAGAAAACCAATGCTCTGCGACCTCGGCCTCGTCTTCTTTCAGCTGTCCCTCCATCTTCTCCAGGCTGCTCAGCTCCTTCCTCTGCCTTCCGTTCGGAGAGCTGCCCTCCTCCTCAAGCGGACACCACCCTCTCCGCGTGCGCAGGCGGCGCAGGGACAGACTGAGGGGCCCGGAGACCAGAAGCTCTGGTGCGCACCTCCCGCGGTCCGGGTGCACGCCCTGACCCCGCCCCGCCCGGTCCGGCCCCAGGCTACGTCCGGGACATAACTCCAAAGCCGCCTGTGCCGCCTGGTTGCCCCCTTCCGGCCTCCCGATCCGCTCTTAAGGAACTCCCCGCTCCAGTGCGCTGCGGCCTCCCCGAAGCTGCCGCTGTCGCTACCACCACAGTCACGGTAGCCGCCACCGCCGCCGCCGCCGCGGCCCCTCAGTTCCGCCCTAATTCCCTTTCCTCCACGGCTGCGGCACCTAGAACTCAGAGAGGGGCCGGCTAAAGTGCTGGCCTCAACGCGGCGCTTGCCTACCGCTTGGCCCCCTTTTCACACATTTTTAAGACTTGTCGGCTTCATCCAATGAGCTGATCAAATTTTACATCCTATGTTGCCAGAGAGGATTATGGGGGCAACTTCATGGTGTCAATCACATCCAGGGCGCCGATCCGGGAAGGCCGGCGGGGGTTGGAGGGAGGTGCGGGGAGCGAGATGTAGTGGAACAGCGCAGACCCCCGAGAATAAGCGGGCATCTGAATCCACCAATGCCCTGCACAGAGCAGGCACCCGAGAAAATTGTGTTCTGTGTATAAAGGCAGCATTTTGTAGAGGAAAAAGAAAAAATCACATCACGCAACCCCTCCCTCCAGGACCCCCCCCCACCCTCACCCCCTTAGATCTCCCCCAGTGCCCAATGAGGTTGTTGGATTAGGTCTCTGGAAAGCACTTCTAGACCTGATTTAGAACTTTCCTGCTGTCCCAAGCAAAGCACATCTTCTGGGCAGTTGCATACTTATCAAATTCTAAGAGTCGCTCTCCGAAATGGTATTGATTTTTCCCTACAATATTTTTGCAAGGCTTTTTGTCATTAAAAGAATGGGTTAGAGCATTTCAGTGGGGTCCACTTTCAATTACAGAAAATTGCAAGATGAAGGAAAAAAAATCCCAAACACAGCATTTTCTGCTCTAGTGTAAAATTCAGTACTTTTAGGAAAGAAAAAAAAAAACCTTCTCATTTCCTTCCTATATTTTTAAAATTCTAGCTAGCTAAAACATCATAATACCAAAATTAAGCTGAAACAGTATGTGACACTAAAGTCTTTTTCCTTGGGTTCAATGACAGCCTCCTTCTAATAATGTGATCCCTTTTAAGTGCTGACAATTTGAGAGCAAACTGTGTTAAGAGAAGAAAAATTATCACTGAGCTAAGAATAATATCAAAAATGGGAGGAAATAACATGAAATGAATTTTTAATTTAGAAAAAAGTTTTTTTTAAATATCACAATTTTTGTTGTAGAGTATTTCCTAAGTCTTTGGAAAGCTTACAGTTTAGATAAAGGAATCTATGTTTGTTTAATAATTCCAAAGTATGAAAATTAGTACCTAAAATAAAATGATTTCATCATTAACCTTTATCATCTTCCTTAAAAGAAATACATGTTTCTAAGTTAAATATAAAAGATAAGAAGAAGAAGAAGAGGGGATTGTACCCTTTCTCTGTAAACTGGGCTTTTTCACGATTCATTAAACCCTTTTTCCATATGTGTAATTGGACTCTTCTCATTTACATAAAGGAGGGATGAGGCAAAGACCTAAGCCGGCCCAAAAGGAGAAATACGTTTCTCATTCTCCTATGCTAAAAAAAAAATTGTAGAAGAAAACTCCAAGAAGGCAGAGCTCCCTCCCCCACTCCACACTCACCCACATATACCAGCCCTGAAATAGTTCGTGGCCAAGGAGTTAGTAGGTTTGCCAGAGCCTTGAGTATTGCCCTGCACATACTGCCTCATAGTTATGATCAGAAAATCATGTTTTTCCTTTATCTTCTCTAAGTAAAAAGCTTGGACTAAAATGACTGGGTAGTATATCATATCCTATTTTCTCTCATTTTTGATTGGGTTAAAAACCAAGAAGAAAGACCGCCCTGTCTTTGAAAAGAGCACAACCCTCTGCTTGGGCTTGAGTCGTCTGTCTGGTATCCTCCATTCAGTTGGTTTCAGCACCTGATTAATTAGTTAATTAGTACTTAGAGCTGACTAGCCCGGGTCGGCAATTTTCATGCCCTGCATGGTGAAATGTTGAATCTAGCACTGAAATTTCTGTCGCACACCCTAATTATTATCACCCCACTACTTTTAAAACCATTGCTCCAAATTATTATAATAGACAGAGCCAGACAACTGTGTGGGAATATGTTCTCTCTGAGAAATAATGGTAGACAATCAACATTTTTCACTGTTGCCCTTAACACATTTAAATAAAACAATTGAAAGGGGAAAATTCTAATTCAATTAGCCTCCAACTTCTTCCACACAGAAAATGATTTTATATGGGAGAGATATTAGAAAAGTCATGCCAAAAATTTTTAATGTTTTATCAGTTCCTCAGATGGCAAAGTCAAGGTTTACAAGATATCCTATCTGAGAGTAGTATTGTTCCCAAATAAGTCTAAAATGTCAGGAATAGAAAATAGAAACAAAACAACCCCCCCCCCCCAAATAACAAGATCATTTTAACTAGCTGTAAGTAAATGATGCTATCTGCGTGCTATTTGAATAAGGGGACTTTTGATATTTAAAAATACTGACATGGTTTAGGAATGAGTTTTTTATGGGGAAAAATATTCCTTGGCCACTGCCTCATTCCTCTATAAATTTGATGTCTTGGCTAAGGTTAAATATCAACTAGGGAAAAATCATTTTAGAAAATAAGTTAGGACACAAACCTAGAGGAGTCTAGTTTTTGGCATTTCTCAATTTACCATTACCAAAAAGGGCCCCAATGTACCAATGATTTTCAATATTATTGGTAGCTGTTTTCACCTGAAACAATCTTTATATATCAGTAGTGGGTTGCCTGTAATTGTAAGAGCTAAATGGTACACAAAACTGGATACACAACCACACGGATCAGTAAATGGGTAGGACTGAAAGCAAAAGTAAACACCAACCTTAGGAAATGAAAGAAGTTAAAAGATAAGTGTTAAGGACCTTATTCATTTTGGAGAATAAAACAAGATTTAGTAGCTTTCCACTTAATTTAAATGAAAAGAATCACTACCTTACATATTGCAGTGATAATGTAATGGGGAAGGAAAACAAAAAAGTCTTTGTACAAATGACACCTCCTATAGTTGTTGTGAAGAAACTTTTCCCCTTGGTATCTGCTAACAAATTCTAATTAATGCTGCACATTCCTTTACTGAAATCATTTAATGCGTAACAAGGGGGGTAAAAAGAAATGCTGAATGCTCGTGATTGCCCTGTTAGAATTATGGGAGTGAAAGCCTGGGGCCCCAAACTTACTGTCTATTAAAGCCAAGCTTTGAAAAAGAAATGCAACCTACAAAAGCTGTCAATCTCCCTTGCCCCTAAAGCCTGGGTTCACATGGATTCAAGTGACAGCCCTCCTCCCCCATGCACAATACATCAATCTGTCTCTCCCACAAGCACCCACAGCCCATTGTGCTGGCCGCAGGTGCCTATTATGGCACCCATGGCTGCCTCCCACAGCTCCGCCCCTGAGAAACAGGAACTGCAGACAATGCAGCCCTGTGGGAAGACAGGGGTTGGTGTTGGGAGGAATAGCAGACAGATGGTAAAGGGTATAGGGTAGTAAGGTAGTTTCAAAACAAATGTCAAACATTCAAAATTATTGCTTTCATGTGTCTCCCCTTTTGAATTGCCTTTGCTTCAATCACCATCTGCCATAATCATAGAAACACTTACCTGTTAGAATGAATATTTGCTCCCCTTTTTGGGTGGTGGTAGAGGGGATGACCATCAGTACTGTACTCCTCCTATTTAATTTCTAGATTTCTCAAGGTCACACACTGAGGAGTTTTAGTTAAGTGACACCAATATACCATATAGGTGAAAGAAATAATATTTCTAATTTTTTGCAAGGTTCGTGATTTCTCTTTGAGCTTAGTATTGGGCTTCTTATGAGGGCAAGGGTTATAAAAACTAGTTTCTTTAGGGACCTTATTTGTGAAATCAGATTACTATAAGATTTCTTACAAATGTCAACTCAGGCAGGTAGAAATTCTTTTCTGGTAAGGTGTCACATAAAGGGAGATGAGGTGAATTTAATAATAAATGTAATGAAGGTTTCTGACTCAGCCTCTTTCCCTATTTCCAAACATGTCAATAAAATAAGTAAAATTGTAAAAAACAAAACAATTACTGAGTACTACTCACATCACTTGCCATTATCAGAGAAAAAGTACATTTTAAACATTTTCATTTCATAAAATTTCACTTGTCTATGGTGTTGTTAATCTTCTGAGTTATGGACTAATTAAGAAGCAATAAGTGGAATTAAAATATACCCCAAAACACATATATTAGTTCAAATAATATGATTTAATTGCTTTTGCCCTTACTTTATCATTTCAATATACCATCTTAATCCTGTTTCCAAGATAATTTGTCACAAACTAAAAGCAAGCTAACAGTAACTTCATCATTACTACTACTACTTGTCTACAAAAAAAAAAAAAAAATGGACCCAGACAAATCTGTCACAAAAATCTGTAAGTCATGGTCAAGAGGATTGGTGACTTTTTAGGAAAAAGGTACCCCCAAAGTAATGCCAGGGACTAAAACTGGCCAGGTTTCCTGAAGCAAACAAGAGGGTTTTGGTTTGCTGTCAAAAACTACAAACTAGGCTTTAACTACAGACTGTCAGGGATCCAAGGAGCTCCAGGCCAGGGAGAGCTTAATTAGCAGAGTTGGTTTGGGTTTTTTAATTACACAAGAAAAACAACCAATATCATATGAAAGCATACAGTGGTATAATGTAGCACAAAATTCACTATTCTATTATGTGTGTGTAGTGATTTTGTG